TTTGGAGAGCCGTGTTGTTGAGAGACTGGTCCCCGTGTGTCTGAGAGAAGGCAGCTAGTCTCAGCACCAGCTGACATAGGGGACTCTTCTCTGGGCTCAGTTTTCCTGACATCTGGGGCGTTTTTGGAAAATCATGACATTGGTTTTCTTCATGTTCACTGCCAGGGCCCAGTTGTGACAGAACTGTTGCACTCTGTCCAGCTGTTGCTGTAGTCCTGGTTCAGTAGGAGACAGTAGAACCAGGTCATCGGCATGAAGCAGACACTTCACCTCTCTCTCTAGGAGGGAGAGCCCAGGAGCAGCACATTGATCCAACTCAACAGCAAGTTCATTTATATATATATTAAATAAAGTCGGACTTAAGTTGCAACCCTGACGAACACCTCTTTTCTGGGTGAAGGATTCAGTTTGTTTGTCTCCAATTTTAACAGCACATCTATTTTCCAAATACATTGATTTAACCAGATCATATACTTTGCCCCCTATCCCACACTGTAGGAGTCTGTAGTAGAACCCTTCATGCCAAATAGAATCGAAGGCTTTCTTGAAATCAATAAAACAAGCAAATATTTTACCATTTTTTGTTTGGTGGACATGTTTGTTAATTAAAGTATGAAGGGTATATACATGGTCGGTGGTCCGGTGTTTTGGGAGGAAGCCAATTTGATTTTTACTCAAGATGGAGTGTTCGTCAAGGAAATGTAGTATTCTTTTATTGAGAATACTACAGAATAATTTACCGAGACAGCTGCTGACACAGATGCCCCGGTAGTTACTAGGGTCTGACATGTCACCACTCTTATGAATGGGTGAAATGAGCCCTTTGCTCCAGGAGTCAGGAAAACATCCTGACTGTAATATGATGTAATCTCTCTGTCCCTCTCCTCTTTTATGACTGATAGCTTCAGATGTCCCACCTGACAGTTTCCCCGATTTCAGCCAGTTTAGCATATTTGCATGAATGTTGCTGAATGAATGAAGTTAGCTGTTAGCTGACGTTAGCTGCACTAGCTAGGCTAGCTAGTGTGTACGTGGCGGCAGGAGCTGAAGTGCATTTATTTATTAAATTGTAAGTTTTAAATTTTTTATTTAAATCTTTCAAAGGGAATTTTTATAATTCATGTTTTTATTTTGTGAAAAATCCCACTTAAATTTTTTTAAATTATATTTAATATTAATTATTACACCATTAGACCACCATTACATTTTTCCTCTCGCGCACCCCCTAGAGGCAGCTCGGGGGTGCGCGCACCACACTTTGGGAATCCCTGCGTATAGAGGGTGCTATAACGAGTGGAGATGGTGCTCAGGTTGCACTGCATATGTAGCTTCCTTCCCTTTAAGTCCCCCCTCCCCCCTCTCTCCTCAGGCAGCGGTACCATCGACTTCGAGGAGTTCTTGGTCATGATGGTGCAACAGCTCAAGGAGGACCAGGCTGGAAAGAGTGAAGAAGAGCTTTCAGAATGCTTCCGTATTTTTGACAAGTATGACTCGTAATACTGATGCAAAGACAAATACAAACTACCACGTGTTACCGCATTGAAGACGTTCACCTTGTGCTGTGGCTGAATTGAAAAGCCCATTAATTAGAATATTTGAGAAATAGGCAACATTTTAATGGCCTGCAGAACCTTTTTTGAACACTTTGAAAAAAGTGCATCAAAAAACTTTATTTATAAATCTTATGCGATACTATTGACAAAGCATCGGATAACTTCCCATCCAAAATAGCTACATTGTGAAAATATTTTGGGCACCTTAAAGCATTATCTTTTAGTACTGTATATATACTCACCATTGTTGGATAATTGTTATAAATGTATGTATGTGTGTGTATGTGTATATGTATGTATATGTGTATGTGTGTGTGTGTATATGTATATGTGTGTGTGTCTGTAATTATATATATTCACTGTGTTTGATCTCTAACTCCTGAGGGATATATCTGTCTCTTTAGCTGCTAAATGCTCCACTATTTATTTCAAGTGGCTGACTTTGTCTGTCTGCGGTTTGGTTCTGAGCAGGGAGTGTACAGTGGGATTTTTAAGAGCTTTTTCACTGAGAACAGCTGACCTGCTGTAGCCAAAGACAACACTATGAGAACAGAGAGTCAACCACAACAGTAAAGCTGAGGGCCGGACAGCTAAACATTGAGCTGAAACTACTGTATAAAAAGCTCCGTAAAAGACAAATACACAGCTGTAATTTGAAGGAGTATATTGATTGTAAGGGGACTGACATTCCCCAAGTGGCCACAAACACAACTCAAAATTAATCTATGCTCTGTATGTGCTGGATGTGTAAATAAGCAACTGTCTGCTACCATGTTCAACATGGTAACATGTCCAAAATGACACTATGTGAGCCAGGACTGATTCCTCAGTATTATAACAGATTGGACTAGAGCCTGATCAATACAGCATCTGGACAATACATCGGGTATCGATATTATCTCATCACAGATATGTTGTATCAGCGTACACGTTGGCTGATTACATGAACATTGCAGCACAGAAAGAGGCCCTTTAGAAATTGTGCCACCGTTACAGATTTTGTCCGGCACTGACATTCTTCAACTGCAAAATATCCCACTTAGTATATTGGTCAAAGTTCTTCAACAACCAAATTTAAGGGATCCTTGTGCAATGCATTTATTTAAAAAAAGTTATATCCAGCAAAACTATTGACTTAGTTAAGCCACAGGCCACAGTTAAGGCTGCGGAATGATAGAAGTATTGATGAAAACTGGCCTGAACTTTAAAAATAAACTAAACCTGTTTTTAATGAATACGTCCAGTGTGTGTGTTTTGCGTGGTGATGTAGGAGAGCAGCAGGTAGGCGGGAGATTCATTTTTCCACGTTTTCATTTGATGTTGCTTCTTATCCTCAGGAACGGAGATGGTTTCGTCGACCGGGAGGAGTTTGGAGAAATCCTCCATCTCACTGGAGAGCCAGTGGTAGAAGAGGATATTGACGAGATGTTCGGTGAAGGTGACACAAACAAAGACGGAAAGATTGATTTTGATGGTAAGATTAAGCTTTGTATCGAGCCAGAAGCGTTTCTTCTTCTCCTGTGGACTGCGCAGCGTCTTCCATAATGTCTGCAGTATCATCAGAGAGAGAGACTAGACTTCCACATCCGCTCACAACATTTTCAGTTGCACTGTCACAGTATACAGTGACACTTATTCGCTCTCTTTTTCAGAGTTAGATGAGAAGGTAAATACAGCTCTCAAATGTTTCCGTCTTTATGTTACTCTCAGATAACCAGCTGCTTCATAATCAGTCAGACTTAGGAGTGGTATCAAGCTCTCTCTGTTTGTAACTTTTCCAAGGTTATGTGCTTCAAAGTAACATACAACATCAACTCAACAGTCAGAAGAAAAAGACAATGTATATACATATAAAAGTGTATCTCTGCGTTGATGTCAATCTCATCTACATCTCACTCTTGGTAAGAAAGCAAATACGCATATTTCCCAGAATGCAGAAGTAGGCCTATTCCTTTATATAAGTCCCTGTAAATAAAATACTTTTTGGTTGAATCACTATTTATTATAAATGCCTCATATCAGAGTAATGTTTAGAGACTGTAACCATCAAATCTCACTTTTCACACCTATTTAGAGGAACCTAAACCTTGATGTATCACAATTATCTGTGCTGTTACAAAGCACAATGATTGTTTACTTCCCCTTTCATTAATGTAAATGTTAATCTAAATAGCAGCTTACTCACAATATATGGACTACAGTCACACGTTGACTTGTTCCGTGTGTGTGTGTGTGTGTGTGTGTGTGTGTGTGTGTGTGTGTGTGTGTGTGTGTGTGTGTGTGTGTGTGTGTGTGTGTGTG